GCGGGAGCGCCGCCGCGCTCCCAAGCGGCGCACTGTAGCAGTGCGCCACCGGGCCGGCCAGGAGAGGCAGTCTTTTCCCCAGTGTATGTTCTTGTATGTTTCCTTTCTTTGTTGAGGATCAGTTGGCTATAAGTTTGTGGGTTGATTTCTGGGTTCTCTATTCTGCTCCATTGGTCTGAGTGTCTATTCTTATGTCAGTACAATGCTGTTTTGTTTACAGTAGCTTTGCAGTGTAATTTGAAGTCAGGTAGTAGTATGTCTCCAGCTTTATTTATTTATTTATGCTCAGGATTGCTTTGGCTACTTGGGATCTTTTGTCATTCCATATGAATGTTCGGATTGTTTTGGGTTCTTTTTTCTATTTCTGTGAATAATGTCATTGGTATTTTGATGTGGATTGAGCTACTGGGGACACACAGACATGAGGGAGGCAGTTGCAGCTGCCCGTGACCCTACTGCCCCCTGAGGTAACCCCACCAAAAAACATTCTGAGAGGAGACAATTCCTTTGCAAACAGAATAAGATTTGCTGATAGTGTGGTCTCCAAGGTTATAAAGAATCCATAGATTTCTTTTATAATCAAAACCTGATCTTCCACTTTCGAGTGAAAAGGGACTGCTAAGAGATTGTAACCCTCATCTTTGTCCTCCATAATTCACCTCCCGCATCACATCACCATTATACTGTATTGAGGGAATGCTGTATCCCCTTGACCATTCTTGCCAGAAGAGAGTCTCACAACTCTATATTCCCCCATAACACACATGAGACCAGATTGCAATCCATTCATTTATTTCTCTCTCTCTGTTCCTTACTTCTGTTCTTCCCTTCCCACCATTCCCCCACCCTCATTTTTTTCCTTTCTTTAAATCATCCTTTCCTTCAATAAGACTTTCAAAGCTCAGAAAGAAATAGATATAAAGTAGCATGCAACAAGATATTGTTGCTTGTAAACAATTGTTGCTTATTATCAATGCCAGTTCTTTACAGGGAGACCTCCTACCTAGTTCTTTTAGGGTTTGTTCCCTGTCTTCTCATAATACCTTCAAGAACTTCTAGAGACCTAAGTGTGCCAACTCAGGGAAGGAAGGTCCAAAGAAAGATAGATATTCTCTCATCTTCTCTGTAAGACCTGTTTTTCAAGTTCAAGTTTTCATCTGAAAGCCTGTCTCTTTCTCCAAATGATTGACAGCAGGGATGCCCAATTGTTTTAGGGAAGACCCTACCCTCAGGACAACTGTATCTGAATCTGAAGGCTAACAGACCAGAATTCTAAAACTAATGTTCAACCCCCCACACAAAAACTGGAGATCAAATTAATATATAGGAAATGACAGAAGTCATATTGAGACCTTTTATTCCAACTAATTATTATAAGAGTTGTTTTATAGAGTGTATTACATACACTTGGCTATAATTTTATTGTATAAGATGATTTTCCGACTGTATTCCAAATGTGTTTTCAAAATTAAATACAAGGTTCTGGAACACATGGTATTTCCTACAGTGTAATGCCTCTGCATAATATACAAGCATTTCAACATTGAGGTTTCAACTATAAAAGACTTTTTTTTAAAATTATACTAATGGTAAATTAAAAAGGGAGGGGAGAATAATGCAGAGTTGGTGCTGAGCAAATTAAAGCTTTCAGTCTAATAACATAGCCTCAATTAGGTTTCTATTAAGACACTGCATATCTGCCTAAATTCTCACATATAAAGATGAGTGGCAAAAAATAACAAATTAATTATCACTTAAAAAAAAAACAGCAATAACTTAAATGAACTGCATTATTCATAGCCTGCCAAAGATGATAGGAGATATTTCTTATCGTCAATGTCTGTATGTTGCGACAGTCCTTGAGAAAAGATTTTTTTAGAAATAGTCACTTAGGAATCTCTCTGCTAGAAATTCTGAGGAGAAACAGAGAAGTAGGTGAAACAGAAAGAAAGGGGAGGTAAAATACTTTCTTCACACCCTCACACAAAGGTATTTAAATCAGGCCACTGAACTGAGCTTTGATTTCAGCAATGAGGACAGTGATGATATGTGAAAATTGAAGAGTACAAGGATACCAGACAACCCACTGGCCCTTCACAAAGATCGTGGTGCCCCAGGCAAGGAGTCAGATGAGTTTGCCTGAGGATCACTGACAACTTGAAAACTGAAACACATGGGATCTCTGGCTCGTACATTTTCCTCTCTAATATGATCAATTAATTCAATATAACAAACATTTAGTGACATCTATCATTTGCCAGACATTATGACTGTTATATACATAGATGAAAAATGTTCGACCCTTGTAGAGCTAGGGCTAGGGCTCACAGACTCCTCAAGCCCGGTGTCCAGACTGGGGCACAAACCCTCCACACGCAGGTCCACAAGCTAGGTAATAGGAAAAAGTCCTGGGAGCCATGGGTGGAGAAATAATAGGCTTCATTTAGAGCTGGGAGCCGCCGACCCAATATGGCTGCCCGGATTGTCCTCTCAAAGTTTCATGCATCTGCGCTGTTAGTCCTTTATACTCAAGTCCATAATCCAAAACAACAAAAAACAAAAACCAGATGCACAAGCGCAACCACATTAGGACAAGGAGCACACGTGCTCACACACATACCCACCTCAGATGCTCGGCAAGCCTCCGAACATCCCCAGGGCCCTGACCAGTTTCCTTATATTTTCCCAACAACACTCAAGGAGTTTTGAATTGAGTGGGAATTGAGTTGAGTTTTGAATTGAGTAGCAGGGAAGGCATCTCAGATGACATGACTCCTGAGCTGACTGTTGAAGGAGAAATAGGAGTTTGTTAGAAAGAAAAGGTAGGCATTCTAGGCAGAGAAAACAACATATGCAAGGGCAAGAAACATAAAACAGTGTGGCCTTGTCCTCTTGTGTCATGTTTCAGCCAGGAAACAGATGGCATACTTGTAGATTAACTTAAGAGTTTAATGAAGTAACTATTTCCAGAGATGTGGTCAAGGTCAAGGTGCCAGCAAAGATGGTGAATCATTCAGGGATGGCAATAGTGGGAAGCCATTAACCATCTGACCACAAGAACTTGGTGATAGCTGTAGCCAAGGGAGAGGAACTACCCAACAGGAACCTTGACTAGAAGCAGAGAATACAACCACTGCCAAACCACAACCCAGCAGAGACAAAGAGAGGGATAAATACCCTGATTTCTCTTTCCTCCAGTCTCAGCAGGCACCTTCTATTGGCTGAACCCCACTGCAAGCCAGAGGGTAAGGGAGTTTAGAAAAGCTTTCTCTAAAGAAAGGCCATCTTCCTGAGGCCTAGAGAAGAGCATAGATCTGGAGGGGCAAACAGAGAATCCTTAGCACACCTCAAATTCATATCCCATGTCCAAACAATCTCCTGTTTCTTGAATAGGTATAGTACAGGACTCTATCTGTAACTAATACTGTAACAAGTCTGCTGTCTTAGTTCAGGCTGCTATAACAAATTATCATAGAATGGAGGGATTTAAACAACAGAAATTTATTTCTCACTGTTCTGGAGGCTGGAAGTTTGAGGTCACGGTGCCAGCATGGTCAGGTTCTGGCGAGGGCCCTCTTCTGGGTTGCAGCCAGCCATCTTCTTGTGTCCTCACATGGTGGAAAGAGGACTAGAGAGCTTCTGGGATCTCTTTTATAAGGGCACTGATGTCATTCATGACAGCGCTACCCTCAAGGCCTAAACTGCATCCTAAAGGCCCCACCTCCTGATACTATCATATTAGGGGTTAGGATTTCAACATAAGAATTTTGGGGGGACACAAACATTCAGTCCATAATATTGCCCTTGTTTCTTCCTAAATTGATGGATGGGCTCATTACATAACAGGAAGAGATTCTGAAGATATGGTTTGCTATGTAACCTCTGCCCTTCACCCAATCTTTGTATATGCTTATTTTTAACCACAATGATGTAATTATTATTCTAGCAGATATTTTAAAACAAAAACAAATAATCATAAGACAATACAAGATTATATGCCATGTAAGTGCTTATTTGTCTATCTAAAAATAACTACTACTTTAATGTTCAGTCAGTGTATGACACTTGCATATTAGTCTCATAGAATATTTATGTTCATTTAAGACACTTCGTATGTGATTTATAAATTCTAGTTAAATCATATTAAAGATTTCTTCAGATTTTATTATGCTGCTACATTGTTTGAAGGAGGGAAAAAGAAAAAGTTGTCCTTATACAACCTTTCTTCTCTTTATTTTTCAGATCCATAACTCGATCTTACTACCGCAACTCAGTTGGTGGATTTTTAGTGTTTGACATTACTAACCGACGATCTTTTGAACACGTGAAAGATTGGCTAGAAGAAGCAAAACTGCATGTACAGCCATTTCGGATTGTATTTCTGCTAGTGGGACATAAGTGTGATTTAGCTTCACAACGTCAAGTTACAAGGGAAGAAGCTGAAAAACTGTCAGCAGACTGTGGCATGAAGTATATAGAAACCTCTGCAAGAGATGCTACAAATGTTGAGGAATCCTTTACAATCTTGACAAGAGATATATATGAACTTATTAAAAAGGGAGAAATTTGTATTCAGGATGGCTGGGAAGGGGTTAAGAGTGGTTTTGTTCCGAATACTGTGCATTCTTCTGAAGAAGCAGTGAAGCCTAGGAAAGAGTGCTTCTGCTGACTTCAAACATGGCCAAAGAACTAACAAGAACAGATTGGGTAGTCATTTCAGGATAAATACCAACATTAACAGCAGAATGATGCAATGAAAGCATTAAAAAAAAAAGTTAGTAGCCCATACTAACGCTGCTCCGTGTAAGGTATTTGATTCAGAGCACTATGCTTACTTCTTATGCTACCAGATTGGGTATTTTGTTAAATTATTAGGCAAAGCAGACAACTTTTTCTTGAAACTGGAGTATCTAACTAATTACCTCCATTCTCACTTTGTCAGCATATAGTCAACCTTAACGTCCAGCTATGTCAATATTACTCATTTTTCTTGACAGTTCAAAATGGATTTTTTGTACATATATAATCTGATTGAAAAGATTTTATCAGGAATTACATTCTCTTGAGTTAATTATTATTGAATAGTAAAGTGCATTTAAAAGCATACTGGTCAGTTGCAAAGTAAACAATCTCAAAAGTATCGACTAGGACTTAAATAGTAGTTCCTTGCTTGAGGTACAAGGTTTTTTTTTTACCATTTTCTGAAGTATTTATTCTTTCTTAAATTTGCCTGAACATAAGAAAATAAGTTTTATGCTCATTTTTGTTTCCTGATTTATTGCTCCTGAAAATTTTATGTTTTATTAAGATGTCTAAGGATCCAAGCAAAATATTTTAAGCAAATACTTGTAAAAATAAAAACAAAGCACCAATCAATAGCAAATATTTTGATGTTATAGTATATTGTCAGTATTTAGACTGGAAAAAATTAATTTATATACTGACATTTTCAAAGAAAGTAAATGCAACTTACCTCAAACTATTGTCAAAATGATCAACAGAGGTAAATATAGAATGTTTTCAGTAATAACATTTTTTTTTTGTTGAGGTGAACTTCCTGATGTCCCCATTTCCAGTACAAGAGTTTAGAAAAGATTTTTCTGGGCAAGGAAAATTGGTTAGATGTTTGATACATTTAGCATTCAAGTTGCATTTTACAATCTCATCAGTACAAGTGAAGATAGAATAATCAGGTAAGGCAGTAAAATGATTTCTGAGTTTCCTAATTTTCTTTTTTCTTTTTTTTTTTTTTCCGTTTTGTCTTTTTTCGTGTCCGGCAACGGATCGCAACCCTCAGTGTCGCACCCGGACCGGACCAGGACCAGCAACGGGATCGCAACCCTCGGTGCTGCGCCCACACCTTGCTCAGCCAGTGAGCGGGAACCGGTCTGCATGTGGGATCCGAACCCTCGGCGGGAGCGGCACCATGCTCCCAAGTGGCGCACTGTAGCAGTGCGCCACCGGGCCGGCCCTTGAGTTTCCTAATTTTTAACTTGTTGATTAACCTCCTTTCCTGGAAGGGACAATTTAATCACGTGTCAAATATTTTATAACATAAATTTCTATTCTGTTCTGTATACTATTCCTAGTCACAAAGGGGTACCAAATGAAGCTGCCTTTTTGGGATCTTAAGGTTTTTACTTTAAACTATAGTTGGTTTATTTATTTGAAAATCAAAGTTGTATTGTAGAAGGAATATTTAACAAGAAATCAGAAGTTTTGGTTCTAAGCTTGCATTTACTGTACCAAAGTTTGACCATGAGTAATTCATTTGACCTCTCTACACATTTTTCTCATCTGTAAAATAAGGCTAATAGCCCCATTCATTGTGTTTCATGAATTATTTTAAGAATCAAGTAAATCACATAAAAAAGCTTTGTGAATGAAGAAAGTATTATATAAATGTGAGATTGATATCAGCTGCTCATAGGCATACTATTATATTTACAATGGATGAGAATTTTGTTTTCTCATGTTCTTTTCATTCCTATGCAGAGGGAACAGAAAGTGCATGTTTTCAGGGACCTGTGGGAATTTTTGGTTGATGGTTATCCTCTGACCTTTTACCTTGAACCACTGCTTCTCCAAAGTGGCAATGATAGGGAGGGAAGTCCCCAGAGACTTCATCCAATCAAAAGTGATGTCTGAACGTGTTTTATGTGCATCTTTGAAGTAGATATTTAATTATATTTTCAAATACTTGTACATTTTCTAAATTCATGTAAATATTTTTAATAGTGCTAATGGAGAGAAGAATATAGATTATAACATCATTATAAAAGTTTTGAATATTTCTATTGTCAACATTTCTTGATATACTTAGGTTAATTTCACATGAATAAATTCAAACTGTAATTGACCAGATGAGAAAACTGTCCCCTAAATGTGAAGTAGTCTATTTTTACTGTTACAATTTTAAATCCTATATTACATTTTCCATCAGTCCAAAATGTCATAAACTCAAATATTCAATCTCTAACAACAGTTTAAAAGTACAGTCACCTGTGCCTGCTTGTAAAGTTAAATAGCTAAAATGTAAAATGTGATATCTTCTCAAGGACACCCTTTATAATACTAATGTTGAGTGAGACTAATATTCAAGCTAAAGGATATCATAGTTCCAAGATTTAAAATAGAAATAAGGAACTAGAAGAGACAGGGCAGGGCCTAAAAAAGTTGATACATGAACAGAAGCAAACCTAGAACTCTGGTCTCTTCACACCTTGATTACCATGCTGTGCTGTGTGTGTGTGTTGGTGGGGGAGGGCAAAGGAAAGGGGAAATATAACTGAATCCACAAAATACTAAAATTGAGCTAAATAATTTTTCTATCGTAGAGGAGCTGTTTGTGGAAAAACAATAGTAAAGTGAGCAGTGACTACAAAGATAGGAGTTCATATGCAAGATTGACAAATGTCTATATAAACTTAGCCAGATATCTTTATCCATTTATATGTATATGTAAAATAACTAAAATATTTTCTTACAAATCATTATAGAAAATATGGATAATAATGCTGAAATAGTAAAAATGTTTGCTCCAGATGCAAAACATTTTGACTGTTTCTTAGAAATCAGATATACTTGATTTTTTATTAAAATTACTTTTATTTAGGCCGGCCCGGTGGTGCACTGCTACAGTGCGCCGCTTCGGAGCGCGGTGGCGCTCCCGCCGAGGGTTCGGATCCAACATACAGACCGGTTCCCACTCACTGGCTGAGCAAGGTGCGGGTGCAACACTGAGGGTTGCGATCCCGTTGCCGGTCCTGGTCCAGTACGGGCATGACACTGAGGGTTGCGATCCGTTGCCGGACACGAAAAAAGACAAAAAAGGAAAAAAAGTAAAATAAAATAAAAAAATAAAATTACTTTTATTTAAAATTTGTTTAAATTTAAACCTTATTTAAATTTTAAACTAACAAATGAAGTAGCTTATTACTAAATAGTTGAGTAAATATGATTTTTAAAAAGAAATGAAAAACTGTCTAATCATATAATAAATTTGTCCCTGACAGAAATTGTTCATCTTGAGCTGCATTTACACTTTCAGTGCGTGTAGTGATGTGATAATTTATTAAATGGGAAGCTTAAGCCAAAATGTTGAAGTAACAAGAATGCTTTAAATGTGGCCTTTAGATGCATAATAGTAGCAAACTATTTTTTGCTACTATATTTTGCTCAAGATTTTTTGAGACTGGAAACTTAATTACTGTAGGTTTCCAAAAGCCTCAAGCACTCCATGTTTTTTTTTTTTTTTTTTTGTAGCACCAAAAGAATTTTTTATATTGTTGTAATTTACCAGAACAAAGTCTATTTATCCAACTTTACATCGTTAAGAAACTAAATCTGTGCATTAATAAAATCATTTTTAAAGTATTTCTGTCAGATTTTATACTGCCTTTGGTTCAATTAAGAACAAAGCTTTTATTAACTTCAAAAAATGCCCTGCATTTGAATAATGTTCTTAGGTCTGATATAGTGAGAAGGACTAGCAAGACTAAAGACCCATTTCGTAAGCTAACTCATTTGTTTTCTAGCAACTGCCTGGAAAGATTTAGTTTGAAAATGCAAAGGAGAAATGTAATCTTTAAGGTTGGGGGGGAAGACTATTTGAAGGCTTTAAAGTTAGATTCTTTGTATTTTAAAACAGTAGAATGCATTCCCAGCCAGAAGCTAACTCCTGGAAATTCTGCAGCTGATAAATAGCCATCTCTGCTTTATAATCTTTCTAAATCTCAATGTTTTCACCAAACTTTCTTGAGCAACCAGTCTTCACCTGATCTTAAAGTAACTAACAAACTATTCTGAACCTAAACAAACTGCTGCATGACCTGGTACTTCTAAAATGTTAATAACTGATGCAAGTAGACACATGAGTGATGAGCTGTGACAATCTATATTAATCATTACACATTCTAGTTCACTTACTGCACATAATCACAGTAGAAAATAAATAAGAACATTTTTAAATGTATTTTAAAAATTAGTGTACCTTGACGTTATCTCTCTGAATAAATTTTTTGTCTTTTTTTTTTTTAATAGTGCCTAAAACGTTCTTATTTATGTGATATTCAATGACTACTAATTGATGGTTATTATGCTGAATTAATCCTGTTAAATGTGGGTTCCACATACTTGGTTTTAATTTTTACATTCCATGGAGGAATAAACACATGTTTTGCTATTATCTCTCGGCTTTTTTTTTTTTTTTTCAGAATGACAGCCAATGGGAGTAAGATACAGTATAAACTTTCTGAAGTGTTATTAGTGTTGATTTTAAATAATGAATAAAAAGAATGAGAATGAGAACTATGATCGTCACAGGATTGTTAAATTATCCATCTTTAGTAATTCATCTTTAGTGGTGCTTATAAAACATTTTAAAATTTTTCAAACTATTTAACTGCAGTTGTGTGTGTGTGTGTCTGTGTGTGTTCATAAATGAAGTGCAAATAGGAATCAATTAGAGATCTGCAAGCCATTATATATTACATTATGCCATGGTGGAGTGTGAGGCAGAACTCCATAATCAAACATTAATATTTATATAGAAAAATGTATAAATATTCACATTAAAAGACATAAAGTCTAAAAATAAATAATCTGTCATCAATTCAGGTCAGATTTTTGCTGCCAAATAAATTATAAAAAGAATCTTAGATTTTCAGAGCTTTTTGGATTTCAGAATTGCTGAAAAGGGAGGTGAGAAATGCCCTCACCCATCCAATGCCAAAGGATGGACTCAGAGACATGAGGTACAGTGAAGTGAGACTTTAATTACGGCCTTATAAGGTTCAGGTGTCTGAAGGTCAGGCGCATGGAAAAGGGTTGTAGCACGCAATTCATTCCCTAATATGCAAGTCCCTCCCCCCACTTCCTCATTGGCAGAGTACTATGGTGGGCACAATCTTCCTGAACGACAGCTAAAATTTATTGCCCCCTTGCAAGGAATTCCTTTGTCTGGGGGCTCAGGACAAGCCTGCAAAAAAGGCCTGCTTAAGCCTTGTGAAGGGAGAAACACCAAGGAATGAAGAAAACAGTGGGTACTAGTAACCAATTACCATCTCAAGGAGAGCTCTGTCTGTTCAGAGACCCTCCAGGAATGGGCTGGACCACTCAAACAACTTTTGGGCTGGGCCTGAATCAGTTAAAACACCCTCAGATAAGTCATTTCTGAAAATGAATCACTTAGATTACTTT